GGTAAGAGGGCCTTGAGTTCCAGGCTAGCCTGGGCTATAGAGCATGATCATACCAAAAGAAAGAGAGGAGAGAGGAAGAGGGGGAGAGGGAGAGAGGGGTATAGGGGGAGAGACGGGGAGAGGGAGAAGAAACCACTGTGATGAAGTTCTAGTTCTAATCAGGTATCTGGCTGAATTGCAAACAGCCTGCAGGATCACCCACAGCTGTCTGAGTTCACCACAGCCCAGCTCCTTTCACACAATAATAATTCTCCCAAGGGCACTTAATAAACATCCTGTATCCTGCATGCACAGCTCCATCTAAAATATTCTTCCTATGTCACCAGATCTGTCATTCATCTCAACCTGTCAAAGTTGTGCAATGTCTCGTAATAAGTAATGTTACGGCAAAGTTTCTGATTTTTATTTTTTTAATCAACTCAAAATCCCAGTTAATGTTAGACAGCAATGAATAACTAACCTGTCGATGCTCCCAGTAGGGAACTCCGAGGACCTTTGTGATGTTTAGCCAATGTTACTCTCTTCCACCTGAGGCTAGCCAAATGTCAAGGACTGTAATGTGCCAACTAGTTTGGGATACTACTTGGTGATGTTCAGAAAACAGGTCTCTTCCCATCAGCAAGTTAACATCATATTTCCTGGATGTGACTTTTAAAGACATTAACCCAGCTATATGACAAATAGAAACAATGATTTCCATTTTGTGGGTCCAAGGAATGGACCATAAACACTATCATTTCTTCTTACTTTATTGACAATGCCGCAGTAGTAAGTACGGTAGGTAAAGTCATAGACATCGTTTGGCCAGACGGTGTTCACGGGACAGCCGATTCCTAAAAACACTTCATCAGGTTCCATAAAAATATTGGGGAATAACGTGGCCTTAATCCTGAGATAGAACCAATGATTGGTGCACTGCAGACGATAGGCTAAGAGGTAGAAAAGAGAATATTTCTGTTAACAGGCTGTATGGGAATCATCACAGAACATTTGAGCAGAGCTACTTAATGCAAGAGTTCATCTCTTAACAAAATAAAACATGTTGTAGAGAGAAGCAAGTCTGTAAAATATAATCATCTGCTATTAATTCCTCCCTAATATACTCACATACACTCCTATCTACTAAAGGTATTTTTAATAAGTCTGTCAGGGGGAAGAGCAATACAAATTTAAAACATTTTTAATCCTTTAATTCCATTCTCAGAAGTCAATATTTTTCTTAGGGCAAGTCTCACTACATAGCTCTGAATGACCTGGAACTCTCAATGTAGACCAGGCTTGCCTTGAACTCACAGAGCTCCACCTGTCTCTGCCCCCCAAGTGCTGAAATAAAAGGTGTGCAAAACCATGCCTGGTCTCAAAGCCAGCATTTTGTACAGCTGGGACATAAGAACATATTTCTAGTGTAACACTCCGTGAAGTGCAGAGCATGGCTACACTCGGGACCAACTCACGCTCCTCCACACTAGTCCTTGTTTTCATTTCTAAATCCACAGCCTCATGGTACATATAAACAAACATGGAAGGTCGATATAGCAATAAACACTAGTCAGGAACGCCACAACCAACTTGTTAGGCCATGTTTGGTGGATATCCCTGGGAGGCCTGCTCTTTTTTTTTTTTTTTTTTTTCTGTTTGGCTGTTGTATCTTGAAGGCCTGCTTTTTTTTAACAAAGGGAAATGGAGGAGGAATGGGTCTGGGGGAGAAGGGAGGTAAGAGGAGTGGAGGGAGGGGAAATACCTCTAAACAATACTGAGCAAAATAAATCTATAGAATGAATTATAAATAATACTTTAGATACCTGTAAACCATACTTCTGCTTCTGTAAAGCTGAAGTAAAATTATGAAACGTGCAGAGGAATGGATGATTACTAAGCTTCCGGATGGATAGAGGGAAGACAATGAGATCAGAGATGACCATAGGGACTCCCATTCTAACTGAAATTTCACTTTGATCCTAATTTAAACAAGGAAAGCAAGTCAGCATGGATTTAACAAGTCTGTGTGATGAGATAGTGGATACTAATATGATTGCTTAGAGCAGTCTCCTTTAAGTAGCTCCTAATAACAAGAAATAAAATACATTAACCAACACACTAAGAGTCTTGCAACTTCCCTAGCGTCAAGACTAGGTTATCTTGTTGAAAGTAATTTGACAAAAATACCTAACTTTTTGTTGTAATTCTAAACTTTCAAACTAAGAGCTTGCACTCATATTTAAGTGACCAATCACTCAAGTCTGCTTAAAGTAGACTTGTTGGCGCTCAAACTGAGGAAACTGGATCGGTTAGTCATCTTACCTCAAGGAGCTGGCCTTCCCTCTCAGATACTGTGGCTCCATAGAGGATAAGGCCAAGAAAGAATGCTGAACCCTTGAAAAGGCTCCTTTCCTACATGCCACAGGATGTCCTGAGATTATTTATTTATTTATTTATTTATTTATTTATTTATTTATTTATTTATTTATTTATTGGTTTTTCGACACAGGGTTTCTCTGTGTAGCCCTGGCCGTCCTAGAACTTGGTCTGTAGACCAAGCTGGCCTTGAACTCACAAATAAAGACATGCACCACCATGTCCAATGAGTCCCAAGTTCTTAACAGCCCATGAATACCTCTGTGCTTTTCAGGCCACTCCACTTTCCTCAGAGCTAACTCACCTCAAGCACTGAATCCCCAGAATATGATGTGATCTGGGAAAGGTCAAAAGAAAAGGGGAAATGGAGAAAGAAGGAACTCAAGTAAGGACAGTGTCTACTCTCAGTAGAAATGTGAGATTCTAAGATCATGCATCTGAAAGAGACCAATCCCTATGAAACAGTCTAAAAGCCCCGTCCCTCAGCACATGTTAACACATCCCAATTCTTCAAGTCATGTGTGATACCTGCCCAATCATCAGTCCAAGTTCTCATAAAGAAAAGAAGCAGAAGGAGCCGCCGCAGACCCAGGAAAGACTTCATTGCTCAGATTGGAGATCAAACCCCACAGAAGAACTGAGAGACAGAGAGAGTAAAAGGCCTTCTTATATGCTGGAATAGATGACCCTCAGGTGGGAGTAATTAACTAGTGCCTTTTACAGCACACATGTGCCACTAATACACCCTCAGTTCATCATTAAAATGTAACACTTTATTTACATTTAATTTACTCTCAATCATGACTGCTGAGAGATGAGACTTCTGCAGGTGGTCCAGAAAAAAAATAGAAGGCTGACTTGCATTGGAATCTGTACCATTATGTATAGAGTAATTTTATACACTAAGGTATACTTTGTTAAAACTCCCTACCATCCCAAAATATCTGTGTCTCATTATCTAACACTACAGGAGTAACTGTATAAGAATATGATTGCCCTGTGTCACTTAGAATGCAAAGACTCAACACCTTGAGACCTCCTATACTTCCACATCATCCCACCAATCCACCTCTGAGCAGTGGCCCTCAATCAGGTTCACCTGCAGAGTACTCTTTTTAATACAGATAACTGAATTACAGCCATTCTTTTTTTCCTGATTCAGCAAGACTAGAGTGGGACAGGGAATTTACATTTCTAAGTTTCCAAACGACACCGATACTAATGCCCTCAGAATTGATGGGGCACAGGGATTTGCCTTCAGAGCACGCTGTCTTGATACTCACGAGAAGAGCTTGTTTGCAAACTTAAATACATACATCACCTGAGAACCTTGTCACAAAGCAGATGCTACCACAGAAGTGGGGGTCAGACCCAGAAATGCTGCAGTTGGGATAAACTCTCAAGTGATGCCAATGATCCTCTATGATTACACTTTGAGTAGCAACATACTTTAGCACTCAGATGTTAGATTTGCTATACCTGGTTTAACTTTTAAATTATTGTGAAAAATCAATGATATTTTCAGACTATCTCTGAAGTGGAAAAAACTAAACTGCATAGTATAGGAGGTTTGAGATGGAAGTTGCATGTTTGAAATACAGTTTTATTCTAGGTATACACAAAACTTCTTTTTTTATACCACAGTATCCTTTTCATTTGTATTAAATTGTTTTTCAGATAAGTCATCAAGCACCTCTCTTAATAGACTTCCCAGGATATTTTCCACATGTACTTTTTATTGTTGGTTACATGAAAAATATGACACTAGCATCCTGAGCTTGTACAGTAAATACTAGTGTAAAAAAAGCAAAAAGGCTAAAAAAAAAAAAAAAAAAAAAAAAAAAAAAAAAAAAGCAATGTTACTGGTGAAGTTAACAAACATCTTTCTTGATATACCTGGTCTGGTGGTCTGAATGAGAATGGTCCCCATAAGCTCAGATGTTTGAATACTTGGTCACCAGTTGGTGGAACTGTTTAGGAAGAATTAAGAGGTATGGCCTTAATGGAGGAGGTGTGGTCACTAGGGGCAGGCTCTGAGATTTCAAAAGACCTTTCTGAGTACTCTCTCTCTCTCTCTCTCTCTCTCTCCC